CAGTGAGTTTATTTGTTAGAAGGCTTAATATTACATCTATTTTATGTTTATTCTTTAATGTCATTAACTTTTAAACCTTTTGGATGAGAGTTAATAAACTTCTGAAAATTTAACCTCCAGAAATGAGCAAGTGCTTTTTTCCAGCAATGTATATATTTATATATATATTTACAGAGAGTTAAGCTAAGGCGTTTTATCAAGAACAAAGAACAAACACTTTATAAAATGTGAGTTCTTTTAACCTAATATTTTATACTAACACTGTGGTCAACTTTAAAATTCCTCCATCAGAAAACTATCAGCAGTACACAAACTTGACAACATTACACAACCAAATGTTGCCCTCTTCCCATGTAGTTTGTTATATATAGCTTCCAACAACAGATACATATATAAATACGTTTCAAACGCTCTCAAATTCACGAAACCTAAAAACTGTTTTTACAAAGTCGTTCTTTTAATTTTCACTCGACACCACGCTCTCCTACATAAACAACTTAGATGTACCACTTACACCACTTTTAGTTACCTACAATCTAGATATATTATCCCACATCACTTTTAGTTACCTACAATCTAGATATATTATCCCACTACTTTTAGTTACCTACAATCTAGATGTACCACTCCACACCACTTTTAGTTACCTACAATCTAGATGTACCACTCCACACCATTTATAGTTACCTACAATCTGTATTTATCATACCACTTTCGTCTAAGATATAACAAGTTTAATCCACTCTCCTTTTACGTATAATGTCAGTATTCTTAACTTATGTTGTTGTAAAAGTGCGGCTGTTCAGTAACTTAAGAAGCGATTTTAGAAACAGGATGAAATGTAATTCAGTATAATATTTACTGACAGAGAGGCATGACTCTGTGAAGTATATATATATATACTGCTTATGTAGAAAGGTAAGAATATATTGTTTTCTTGTTGTTATCCACTGTCTAATTTTACTTCAATCTCACATGTTATTCATTGACTGTTAACTATAAACAGTACCTATTATTGTAGCTGTATGTTAACCCAAGGCCTAGAATGACGGCTGCTTCCAGAATCCTTTACTGGGGTTCTAGGATTAATGTGTATACGAACTATTTTTTCCCATTTGAGTCGTGTGTCTTTTGAAAGTGAGTTTTACTGAACCTCATTGTTGAACTGTCTTGGTGTACTCAAAAATTTTGATCAATGTTTGAGTAGTTTATGTTTTCATTCGCTGTTATAGGTTATAACAAATCAATATAACCTTAGAGGGTTAATAGGAAATTAAGCCGGCAAACCTGATAAGATACCAGAGAGAAGTTTGATAAATCTGTAAATTCTTTATTTGATGTTGCCGTGTTAAGATGTTCTTGTGATCATTGTTGTTGTGCAAAACAATAAATCCAGAAAAATCGCTCATTCTGATTCAGGAAGTTCTTAAGTTGATAAATTACCTCATTCCGCAGTTCGTTACGAAACTTCTACTATTCTTTAAAAAAGAAAAACAAAGAACTAAGTCTAATATTACTTCCGGCTCTGACATATTTTAGAACAAAGACTACTAGAAGATTGTCTGACCAAGGTATCGTTTCAGGAGAAGACTTTTATCTACAAAAATCAACTAAGTAGGCGTAGATACTACAAATGAAGCTTCTAGCGAATAATTAAAAAGTAATTAAAACACTTCCACTAACCTATCGTAAAACACAGAATCAAACAATCTCTTATGATACAATGTATTCGAGAATAAACTTAAAACAAATCTGAGTTTTACATTAATTATCTAGCATTATAAAAGCAGATATTTTTATTTGAAAATAGGAAATAATGCACACAAAACCTTTTCCGGTTTACGATGTGCTAAGTTTCAACTGAATGTATATTGTTCTAAAACAACAGTATTTATCCAATATATATCACGTAATAAAAAAGCAATTTAATGAGAACCTAAATTTAAAGCAATTATTTCCAAAAATCTCTTCCGCCCAGTTATTACTCAATTGTTTTCAAAACGTCTCCTCCGTCTAGTTATGAATGTGGTATTTAGGTACTCTGATATCCGCCAGATAGTTAAAAGTATCCACAAGGAATTCGGAAATGTTAAAACAAAGAATAAACTCGGACAATAAATAATAACAAGTTAACAAATAAAAGTATTCACAATAGATGTGTACGTCTTGAATTTACCAAACAGGCTGGCTTACATCTTTCTGATGCTGATGGTTACTGAAGAACTTTTCTTATAACATCTGCACAAGATTAAGACAATAAAATTCTTATATACCCCACTGTCCAATCAGAAAACTCTTCCTAGTGTGGCAAAACAATACTTACACGCTGTCTATGTCACCTACTATTACCAATAACAAATACAGGCGGAGAAAACCCATAACTTATACTCAATTGTACAAGTATTTGTATCATCCCTTGAAATAGGCTTACTCCTCAGAGACGCTCCCCTCTCATCTCAAGTGGACACAGACACAAGGCTCAAGAGATATTAAACATGCTTTATTATAAAATCAAAAGTACGGTTAATTTAGGACTATGTTTTTTATCATATATGTTGATGATACTTTATTGTATTTGTTTCTGGAATAGTGGTTGAATATTTTTTAGCATTTCTAAATTCATTACATCTTAATATCAAACTTACTCATGAGAATGAGAAGGTAATGAATTATTTTTTATTTAATGCCATTTTTAGTAAATTAATAATGCTTTTAAAAGAAGAGTACTTAGGGAGGAAACACATACTATTCTGTACTTGAATTTGGTCGTCAGCTCATCATAAGACTCTAAAAATAGAGATTATAAAAACTTTATTTATCATAGCTAATGCTAAATGTAATCAAAAACAAAGAGCTAGAAATTGTATCGGTAAAAAAATGGTTATTCTGTTAGAACTCTTAAAAAACCTCAAGTTTTGAAAAATTACAAAAAGAAAAAAAAGTTAAAACGCGGTCCTCTCGGAAGTCTACTACTGTTGAGGAAGAGAGAGTTATGTGAATTACATGTAACAAATCTTAGCTATCCTATCTAACCTACGTGTGATCAAGTGATCGAAGAGTACAAGATTGACCAGAAGTGACTATACATTTGTTGCATTTATATAACACAGTTTGATTTCTAACTATAACCCTACAACAAACAATAATTAAATTGGTTTTAATTGTCTTCGAAATATTTTCGTAAGTAACAGTGACAACTGTATAGTAACTTTTGCCTCACCCTGTATATATTTACTTATTTGAAAA